TGAATTTAATCTTAGTTAGATTTATGAAACTCAGATTAGACATACCAACTCCAAACAAAGTAGATTATCACAACCAGATAACAGAGAAATGTCTGCTTTGCTCTGATCAGTGTTGCTGTTTGTCGGTGTGTTTGGGTTTGTGTCTGCAGGTGAACTGTTAAAAACCAAACAGTGTTTGTTTCTGTTAAATAGAATCAGCCTGGTTTACAAGTTCATGTTTCTCCAATAAATCACAAATATACATTTTTTGTTTCAAAAGTTTTACCATCAGAAAGGTGTGGAGGTTGTTTCAGTCTGACATCGTGGTCATGCTGTCTCATTAATGTCCACAAAGATAATTTAGAAGGTTTCTAACTATTAAAGTAATTCACTTTTAATTTTATACAAATACATTGTTTTTCTTTTCATATGTGATTATAGTCCTTAACATGGACCATAAATTCATACAAAAATGCTTTATTATGAAAGAGTAATGGTATAAAATGTATACATAATATATACAGGGTGGGCCATTTATATGGATACACCGTAATAACATGGGAATGGTTGGTGATATTAAAGTCCTGTTTGTGGCACATTAGTATATGTGAGGGGGCAAACTCCTCAAGATGGGTGGTGACCATGGTGGCCATTTAGAAGTCGGCCATCTTGGATACAACTTTTGTTTTTTCAATAGGAAGAGGGCCATGTGACACATCAAACTTATTGGTAATGTCTGAGCACTGAGTGATGGGATATGTAGCAATCAAACCATGCACTAAAACAAGCCTATACAAATTGCAGGAAATTACCACAAGAACATGTCATAGGAGGACAGAATGAAGGGAGATGTAAACTCCCAGGATGTAATGGTACTCCAAATGTCAAACAACAGAAATGTGATGTCCACCTCTGATTCATAAAGTTTCACACATTCAGACACACAAAAACACAGAGACAAACAAAGTCACACATACAGACCCTTGCATCGTGCATGATGTTGCACACAACCTGTGCCCACCTGATCCCAAAGTATCCTTGGGCAAGATACTGAACTCAAGTTGCTCCTGAAGTGTTTCTCAGAGTGTGAATGTTAGATGGAAAACATGTATAAAAGGTCCTTGTGTGAATGAGACATGTTGCATTAAGCGCTTTGATGCTCAAGTACAATATAAAAGTGCTCTATAAAAACAGTCAATTTACCATTTATTTAATGGTAATTGAATAAATAATTACCATTAAATAAATATATTTAATTTATTTTATTAAAAACTTCTATGAAAATCAACGTGATGTTTGTTTTAAAAAAATTACAATTTTCAATCAATTAGTTGTTTCTTTCATAAAAGTTCTGAATTAGAAAAATTTGACATTTTGGGAGCTGCATTGCACATTTATTTATTGCAAATTTATTGATTCAAATATAAAGCAGGAGCTCCAAACTCCAAGAAACTACAGTGAAATATTTTTTTCTCTAAAAAACTTTAATTCATGCCAAAGAGGATTAAACTCTTTAAACTCTTTAGACTCTTTCAGACTGTTAGATGGGCACAGCTAACCACAGGTATGTTACTTATGAAGCTCTGAAATGACTTTACATCCAAAAGAGACGAGAACAAAACAACAGAAGAATAATGGAGCTCCAAGTTCAAATAGAGCTGATGAATGTGGTGAACATCAAAGAGGAAATCTGATATGATTCACAGACAGACACATGATTCTACTGCTGAACCAGTCGGACCAGGATACTGAGACACAATCTTCCATCAATTCCATGAGCACAAAACAAGAACAGGACAGGAAATAAAAGGTGGGCTTAGAATAAAAACAGACAGAAACAGTAACAGATGCATCTGTTGTTTGTCGTGAGCGACACTCTGACAGGCTGTAACTTGTGCTGGACAGTCTCCTGTCCCACATGGTGATACGCTGAATTATCAGAGCACAGATCAAACATCCAGAGCACCTCTGCTTGTTCCTGTTTCTACATCACAGACATGAACCTGCTGAAGTTTACTCACATTATTATACATCATACTGATCCTCACACACTGACAGAAACCACGTTCTGTCTTCAGACTGTGACAGGTGGAGTGGGTTTCCAGCCCCCACCCGTGTGTACTTCAAGGACCTGAAATATTTATAGTATTTCAGGGTTTCATTAAGTTATTTGGCAGAAGGATCAGCTGACTGTGAGGGCTCAGAGTCAGCTGTGAATTTGTTTTTGTTTGTCAAATATGTGAACTCACAGCTGATAGGTGGAGGAATGTGGTTGCTAAGGTGACGCTGTGGGTGCTGATGTCATAGATCTGAGGTGTGTCTGTATAAAAACAGCTGATAAGGAAACACAGCTCAGTTTGTTCTCTGGATGTTTAGTACAGAGGTCCAGTTTTATTTTTTTATTTGTTTTGCCCTTTATGTTTTTAAAATATTTTGATAATTTTTTTTTCAATCATGATGATCAGAAAAGACTTTGAGGATTTCTTCAGAAGAACAGTAAGTGTTTTATAATTATATTTTTGAGTGTTTTGAACAAAGATGGACAAAGTTCTCCAGATGAGCTGTGGTTTTATGGAGGCTACAGCTAAATGCTGCCTCCTCCATAGTACAATATACATTTTTATACAGTGACGTCATTTTGAAGTCCTTTGGCTGATGATGGTCTTTAGTATGTAGCTGATGGTTGATGATGAGAGAGGTGATGTTTGTGTTGTTCTGTGGAGATCATTCAAGGACTGAACCTGTTAAACACTCAGACCTGCTTTAGATTTATTATTTATTATTTAAATTATATTATTTAGATTTGAAAACAGCCTTTGAATAGCTGTAATAACCACTATGCGTGAAAGGGTTAATCTCACGTAGTGTTAACGTCATATTCTGTTGCTGACTGAAAAACACAACAGACTCAGAGATTTAGAACAAAGTAGATCATCACAGGTAGATAACAGACAGATGTCTTATTTACTCTGATCAGTTTTTGCTGTTTGTTGGTATTTTTGTGTTTGTGTCAGCAGGAGAGATTTAACTGTTAAAAACCAAACCGTGTTTTTCTTTTTTGTGATTAATATTTTATTGTACTTTTAGAACACTACAGTCCACTGCGGAGACAGATTACATCACATAAAAAAAACCCATCAGCATAGCAGCAGAACAGTAGAGAATACCAAACCAAAATGAGGGGGGGCAAACAAAGCAAGAGATAAACAAAAGCATGGAAAGAAAAACAAAAACAACAACAAACAAACAAACATAAAAAAACACGAAAGAAACAAAAACAGCCAGCCTTTGACTATGTGGGTCTTACTGCATGCCACACTCTGACATCCCTGAGAGTGCTTCATCAGAATTCCAATGTCTATCCCACTCTAAAGTCTAGTCTGTTCGTTTTATTCTGGACAGATATGGATCCCACTTCAGATGGAAACTCTCCACTTTATTCAGGAGCCTGTATGAGAGTTGTTCTAGTGCAGCGAGTCTCCCTAGTTGAATATGCCATACAGAGACAGGTGGGGTGGAGGGGGCCTTCCACTGGGAGATAATGAGTTTACGCCCCAGCATCAATGCAGTCTGTACCCACTCAGCAGCCTTAGGTGGAGCATAGTTAAGGAGTGATGGGTCTCCCAAAACAAATAGTCTTGGTGAAAAAGGAATATCCCATCGTATGGTTGATTTGATAAAGTCATGTATCTCAGTCCAAAAGATTTGGGCTTTAGGACAGCTCCAAATCATATGGGTCAATGTGCCTACCCCAGTCTGACATCTCCAGCATTCAGGGGACTGAATGAGGTTCGCCCTATACAGTCTGTGTGGCGACCAGTAAATTCGGTGTAGTAATTTGAATTGGATTAGTCTCGTTCTAAGTTCCCTGGACACCTTTTTACTAATCTGCAAAATTGCAGTCCATTCCTGATCTGTAAAAGCCACACCAAGGTCAGATTCCCAAGCTAACCGGAGGGCGGGTAGTCCTTTACTCGTGCCCGTAACAAGCATTGAGTAATATTTAGAGACTTCACGACCCCCCCCCAAAGATTTTTTTGATGTAGCTGAGATATTCAATATTTGGAGGTGGTGTGGAGGAGGAACCAAAGGTTTTGAGCAATAAGTGCCGGAGCTGCAAGTACCTCCAAAACTGACTTTGTGGCAACTGAAACTGTGCTTTAAGGTCGTTGAAGGACTTGAGAATCCTCCCCTGATACAGGTCTCCGAGAACAAGTATCCCTCTCTGGACCCACAGTCTCCAGAAAAACGGCGACTTATTAATGCAGAGTTTGGGATTGAGCCATATGGAAGCCTCAGTGTGAAGGTGGGAGTTAAAATTTAGTAGCAAGGCCACCTTCTTCCAGACCGTCTGCAGGAAAGAAAGAATGGGGTGGGTTTGTATATCTGGTGGGGGCTTGGTGGTTAAAATGTGCATCGGAGGGAGTGGTGAGCACAAAGTACTCTCCAGACTAAGCCATGGGGGGGCTCGTTCTGGAGGGAGAGCCCAGTGAACCATGTGTCTCAGACTGAAAGCATAATGGTAAAATAGTAGATTTGGGACCCCAGGCCACCCGACTCCACTGGTTGCTGTAGCTTTTTAAGCTTTATTCTAGGGCGTCTGTTATTCCATATGAATTGGTTGCATAATCTGTCAAATTGATGGAAATATTTTGATGGGATTTCTAGCGGGAGTGTTTGTAGTAGGTAATTAAATTTTGGAGCACAATTCATTTTGATGATGTTAACTTTACCCCAAAGGGTGAGGAACAAAGGGGACCATCTAATTATGTCGGTTCTGAACTTGTCCAATAGAGATTCAAAATTAGCCTGGACTATGTTGTGTAACAAACGGGGGAATGTAATGCCCAAGTATTTAATACCAGTCTGAGGCCAGCTGAAATCCCCCAAACCGTGTTTTTCTCTGTGAAAGAGTTATTATGTCTCAAAGAAATCATTACATTAAATTTCAGCACTTTTCTTATGACGCACTTTATGGTCGTCCTACAGTCCAACCTACCAAACGTCACTTTAACGCGACTTCCCTAAGACACATCGGAAGTGTGGAATTTGAACGAGTGGCTGAAAGACAAAACTTTCAGCATTGTTTAAACCTTAAATTTAACCTCGTGCAGTCAAGTGTTAATCTTAAGGTCTATTATGCACTGAAAATACCAACAGACTCAGACTTTTCGAACAAACTAAGAGTCAGATCAGCAGAAACAAAAACACGGAAATGTTTCCTGTAACTGCGTCGCTCTGCTCGACTTTGCTGATTCTCGGTGTCTTCGTGTTTGTCTCTGCAGGTGAGGTTTATAAATCAAACAGTGTTTCGCTCTGAGATAAAGAGGAATAAACATCAGTCTGGTTTACATGTTACTTCCCAAACAATTAGTTTCATATTTAATTAGTTTGTCTGCTTTTGTGAAGACATCACGAGGTTTGGTGGTGTCTGTGTGCAGTTTCCAGCACAGAGACAAAGAAGTGTAATGTGTGTGTCAGTGTGATGTGTTGTAGTTTCAGGAGTCAGTATACAGCCAGAGGCCGATCTACAGAGGTGGCATGGAGTGGCATGCTCCACCCTTAAATGATCTCTTGCCACCTCTAGTGCCACAGTAGTTTTATATAGGACATTGTTGTTTGTTAAGGTGTGGCAACAGATTATATTAGGCTGGCACATGCCTCTCTATGCCACCTCTGCAGATCTGCCCCAGAGTTTTAAATGGTTGTACAAAGAAATGTCAGAATCATTGTTTACATTGTAAGGCACATTACACAATGTTACACTTGCAATATGTGTAAAGAAATGGCTTTGATTGTGCCACCCTAAGAACATTTCATTACATCCAGCCCTGTATACAGCTACAAAGCTTTTTGTTCAGTGTATACAAACAGCTGTAGCTCCATAAAGGCAGCATGCAGAGACTCAGTGTCTTATAATGAGAGGCTGCTTTCTCTCACACATTATGTTCACTTATTATCAGCACATGTTTCACTGTATAAATGTTTATATTTCATCCTCTTGGCTTTGGTCTCAGCAGGAATATATTAAGGTCTAAATCTAAATCTCTGTCAAAGAGAGAGTGAAAGATAGAAATAGATAATAAAATAAAACAGTGAAAAAGAGGGAGAGAACATAAAGAATTGCTCTTTGTAGGTGTTCTGGTTTTGCTTGACAGACCTTCATCAACAATAAGAGAAATATTTTTTTGTATATTAGCCTCAAAGTATTATGTTTGTAATGTATTGTACTGCAATGATAGCAAAAAATAATGTGTATGTGTACTTTTTTCCTCTTTCAGACAAGAAAACCATCACAGCTGAGTCTGGACAGAACATCACTCTGCCATGTCGAGCTACAAACAACAACATCTTAGCTGTAGAGTGGAGCAGAGCCAACCTGGGAGATGAATATGTGCTTTTGTACAGGGATGGCCGATGTGAACCAGACGAGCAGCATCCATCTTTTAAGAACCGGGTGGATCTGCAGGACAGACAGATGAAGGATGGAGACGTGTCTCTGATTCTGAAGAATGTGACGATTAATGACACTGGAACATATAAGTGTCGTGTAAAGACAGGAAATAATCGCAGAAAAAGAGCAAATCTGAGTGGTGACCCCATCAGCATCATCAACCTGAGAGTTGTTTATCCTCCAGGTGAGTGAGTAGAGTTGAGTGTGTGTGTGATCAGAGGTGAAGCTGCTTCCTGGTTGTTGATGTTTGTTTGTAAAGATGTTGATGAGACTTTGTAGAAAGCAGCTGGTCTGAGTGATGTGATCAGAGTGCAGTAGATAATGTCTGACAGCAGTTTGAAGAGGAAATGGATTCTGTTCTGTTCTTCACTCATCACCTACCTGACACCTCACACCTGTTTCTCACCTGCAGGTCAGCCAGGAGGAGACACAGAGGATGGATCTGTTGGACTGAAAGTTGGTCTGCCAGTTGTTATTGTCCTTCTTCTTGTTGGTGGTGCCTTTGTTGGTTATTTGATCTACAGAAAATATAAACAACGTAGCCAGGACTCATATTGCCCCACCACTGAACCACAGATTGAAATGTCTCAGAGATTTCTGAGTTCTGAATCTCCTGCTAATGAACACAATGACAGAAATGAGCCGGAAGAAAACAGCTGTCACCAACACTCCACAAGGATTCCTGATGCCACCCTGACGCTTGAGAATGAACTACTTCATCCTCAGGAACCAGCAGCGGGACTGCTTCCAGAGACATCAGAGTGCAGTAGATAATGTCTGACAGCAGTTTGAAGAGGAAATGGATTCTGTTCTGTTCTTCACTCATCACCTACCTGACAGCTGACACCTCACACCTGTTTCTCACCTGCAGGTCACACAGGAGGACACACAGAGGACGGACCTGTTGGACTGAAAGTTGGTCTGAGTGTTCCCATTGTGCTTATTGTTGCTCGATTATTGATCAACTGAAAACATAAACAACAACAGTGTCCGGATTCATACCAGCCCTTCTTGAAGTGCAGTAGAACTTAAATGTCTCAGAGCTTTTTACATAAGAATGCTGTTTAATGGCAGCTTGCATCATTATGGCAAAAAAGCAGAAGTGAATCTTACTGAAGAAAGTAAAACAATAGATTCCAAGTAGAAAAGCAAAAGAGCTGCTTCATTTCACAGGCAATGGTTAAATAAAAAGCTAACAGTCCCTCAAGTAAAAAGGAAAAAAAAAACAGACATTCAACAGAAGAAAAAAGATGGAGCACCAGGACCAGCAAATCCATCAACTGAAAATTGGAAACCATAATTATTTAAAATTATATATTCTCAACCATCTGTGGGAGAGTCCCAGGAAATTAATCAAGGACATTTTTAATCTGCAGGGTGAGAAGTTTATGGAATAAGAGAAAAGATAGAGAATAATGAAAATGTGTTGACAAAATGTTATCGCCTACACTTTACTGTTAGCATTTCATGTTCTTTACATCTATTGTTATCAATTTACTGCTAACACTGAGCAAATATGGCTTCTGATCTATTGTAATATTGTACATTATTATTAGTAGTAGTAGTTTTGGTTGATGTGTGGTTTCAAACACACACAGGTCTTCATCATTTGATTGTATGTTTGGTCTCAGGCAGCTAAATTAGTTTGTAGAGAAAAATGATCTGTCAGATTTGTGTTTGTGACGTTAGCCGCTCTCATGAGTTTGACATGTTCTACTCTTTACATTTGTGTGGAACACACATTAGCTCATATTTTCAAACAAAAGTTAATAAATCATCACATTTGAAATATTTGGGAGTATTTCCAAACAAAACATTCTGTTATATGATATAAAACTGTTATATAACTATTCCGTGTATGTTTCTCTCGAATAGGCATGAGCAGCAACATATTCTGTTTCTGACTCAATTTGTTTGAAGGTAACTTTTATCTCCATTGATGTCAGCAATTTACTCTGTTCACAGTTTGCTTTCTGATCAGTATTCATGAGTTCTGTGAGAGCTCAGGTGTTCTCCCCCCCCCATGCAAAGCTCTTTATAAATTTACATTTCAGTAGAGGACAATCTTCTGGATGGTTGTTACTTCAGTTTAAATATTTGAAGAGCTGGTTACATTTTTTTTTTTTTTTTTTAAGCTTTTCATAAAATTTTGCTAATAAAGTTCTACTATAAAAAATAGTACTGTATTGTGGTCTTAATCAAGTCTTTGGTCATCTGTTTCTTCTGGCTGTTGAAGCAGATTTTCTCTGAGCAGAAATCAGCAAGAGTAAGACTCAAATAATCCTGACGCTGTCTCTGTCCTGGAGCAGATTGAGAGATCACAGTCAGATCTGAGTCTGTAACAAGGATGTTTCACTGTAAACGAATGAGTCCACCAAAGCAGGAACATGTCAGGAGTTTGTAAATTGGGTGGGCGTCAGACAAAGAACCACTCCGGCTATACCCGATGGTTTTCAACCACTGCAGGTAAAACACTTATGAAGGGTCCACCTCAGTGATTATAGCTGCAGCCTCCTCGCTCATTCATTTTTATGTCACAGGCAAAGAAGGCAGAAAGTACTTAAGGCAGAAAACCTAGTAAGAGTTTGATCCTTTTTAAAAGTGCAAGTATAAAATGCATTTAAATTACTTTATAACAAAACAACCGTTGTATCATTACAATATCTCAAGTCCAGTTAAAGGTTTCTAGAACATTTTAAGAAACTAAATCAACAATAAATATAAACCCAAAAAATAAAACACTAAATGAAGCTTTGATTACATAATAAAAGTCAGGACAGGAGTAAGGATAGTCATGTGACCTGTAGGCCGTTTCCTGATTAGTCTTAAAAATAAATTCTTCTTTTTCTTGATTACATGTGTGGTCACTTTTTTTTTTTTATCATTTCTTGTTATTTTTGTGCCATCCTAAATTGTGCCACAAGGGGGCACCTCCTACCTATTGATCTCACACTACCTGTCAGTGATTCCACCTCATTTGTTTTTTTTGTTGTTGTGATCAAATATAACTGTTGGCAGCTCTCATTTCAGGGGCCTGTTACATAATAATAAGTAGAAAAATAATTCACTTCAGTTAATCTCAGTATGTTTGTGTATTTGTATATAACAGAACCCAAAGATGCTCTCTCTCTTCCCCGTATTTATTCTTATTCTCCTCTGCTTTATAACACTGACTTTAGTAGCTTGTGGTTGGAGTTTACTGTTTTAGCTCATATCCCCGTCTCTCACTGAAGGTGATGTATGTTCATGTTTAAGAGGTCTTTTTTTTTGCTTTGATTCAAAGGGGTTTGTCAGACAGCTTTTCAGAGAAGAGAGACATGTTTTGAGAGCATCATAAATTTAGCCCTTTATGTACGCTCTTCTTTTACTGTTTTTTGTTTGTATAGAAAGTTTTTGATGTTTAATGTTTTAATTCAAAGTGTTTTATCAACAAAAAACTTTCTCACTTGCATGTTGTGTCTTTTTAAGGGTAAAAGATAAGTCACGTAAAAAAGGGGGGAAAGTGCTCAGAGGAAGAGGGCGGGCTTTACTTGGTGTCAGTGAGAGAAATGAAAAAAAGCTCAAATGAGTGAGAAGGACGATGAAGGAAACATCTGTGCTGTGTCTGCTCTGTAAGTAGAATCTCTGTGTTTGTTTGAATTCTTGTACTTTGACTGTCTGCTCTCCTGATAACTGATGATGGAGGAGAAGACATGAAAAACAAATCAGGCTGAATTCAAGTTCAAACACCACGAGGACCAACTGCAGGTCTGAACTGACTCTTTATCTTTGCTCAGGAGTCGAGGAAACACAGCAGGCAGTGAAAAGATCAAATCATTCACTCATTATATCAACACAGCTGCAAAATGGACACATGACTTTAGTATATATACCTAACAGGGCTGTAGTCTATTGAATAATAGTTTAAAAAAACATTTTATTTAGCTCACAGAGGTACACTGGTACTTCTGTTTGTGTGGAGTTGTTCTTTATGTTCACCTCAAATCAACCTGAGTGTCATTTCTCTTTAGTTCTGATCTCACTGCTGAGCTGCACAACAAACCAAGGTCAGTAACCTTCTTCTGTCACAGTTTAAACGTGAGAAATGCTCACTGATATGACCTGATTGGGTTCATGTTTTAATATGATGTAAACCGGATGGAATTAAGGACTATTCACCAATTGTTAGGTCAAAAGTTTAACAGATCATCAGTTTTTCATTGTAACCCTCACAGCTCGTCTGACTGTGAGTCCCAGCAGCTCTCAGTTCTTTAAGGAAGTCTTTGTGACTCTGAGCTGTGAGGAGGACGACAGCTCTGCTGGATGGACTCTGAGGAGAAACACAAGCAGACAACAGAGGACTCAGTGTGGAGATGTGTGGGGAAGAGGGACTGGTTCATCATGTAACATTAGTACACTATTCACTCAGGACAGTGGAGTTTACTGGTGTGAGTCCAATCAGAGTACCATCAGTAACATGGTTAACCTGACAGTCGCTGGTAAGCTGAGTGTGTGGAGTTAGTGTTGATGAAGCTGTGTGTAAATGGATGAAATGCTGTAGTTTGTCTCTGTGCTCAGATAAATCAGTGATCCTGCAGAGTCCTGTCCTCCCTGTGATGGAGGGAGATGACGTCACTCTGCTCTGTAAAACAAAGACCACTCCCTCCAACCTCCCAGCTGCTTTCTATAAAGATGGCTCCCTCATCAGGAAGCAGCCTACAGGTCACATGACCATCCAGCATGTTTCCAGGTCTGATGAAGGCCTCTACAAGTGTGACATCAGCGGTCATGGAGAGTCTCCATCCAGCTGGATCACTGTCACAGGTGACACACTCACCTGTCTGTGTTTCTGCAGCTTTCAACATTCACAATGTGACGACAATTAATGACTGTGTTTGCTTTATTTTAGGGGAACACACCACCACACCTCCACCTACATCCACACATCCTCCTGATTCCACTTCCATCACTCTTCCACCATCACTCTTCCTCCTGTTCTCTCTGTGTTGTTATCTGTTGGATCAGTCTGTTTTGTGGTTCTACTGGTGTTACTGGTTCTGCTGGTGAGACGACGTGTTCACAAAAAACCTGAAGGTGAGACTCAGAAAACTGCATTTCAGATATGTGGTTATGATAATCGCACCACTCATATATTTATTTTTATATATGTTTTTTTTTCTGCGTTTCAATTTATCCGCACTCACATTTTCACAAATTACACATGCATTTTTTTCACTTCTATTAGAGTTACGTTCCAGTTATGCTGGGCAGACACTGTGCGATTTTTTTCAGTCGTGTTATTCAGCTCCTGCTCAAACTGCACGATTGACTCGCAGGGGTGAGAAGTTCGTAGGTCATGATGCAGGGTCCCATACTATACGGCCCGATGCTCTGACCTGCGTGCTCACACTGTGCGTCCATAACATGAAGGTCATAACACAAAATCTGTCTCTCCCTCTCTGTCTTTCACTCACACAGACACACACACAACTTTGCTAAATTGCTAATGAAAAACATTGATCAGGCAGCTGTGATTGAGCAGCAGTGTAGATCCAACTATTTTCACGGTTGTTGTGGTCGTGATAATTTTGTGAGGCCACATCGAAAAGGCTCAGATTAATTTGCCAAAGTTCTACAAGTTGTGCCTCCATCGCTTGTGTCCAGATCACACGCTGCACTGCCGTGCTACTCCGTGTTTTCGCTTTCATTTTTGTTTGCGCGTGCGCAGTGTGAGAGGCTGCGTTGACACACTCACGACGGCCGACAGGATTTCAAACAGGTTTGATTTTTCTTGCAACCATATGATTGTTGATTGGGAGCTGGTCGTGAGGTGTTAATCGCTTCTCATTACCCCATGTACACTGCACGATGCACGAAACACGATTAAGGCGAAACCCGGGCCGATCCCCAAAGCGGTCACACGACTGAAAAATCGTCTCAAAATGGGCCAGAAATCGCACAGTCTATGCCCAGGTTTAGACTCCTTACTT